CAAACCCGTTTCGATGCTTTTTGGTGCACTAAGGATGGTTGTTCAAGGCATTGCCTTTCTTGCACCTCGGTACCTGCTTTCTGGGAGCGCCAAAAGGATTCTGTTGCCATTTTGGGTGCGGTTCCATATGAGAACCACCCCCCTCCCCATTCGCAGGTGGACAGCGGATGCCTGCGCTCCGCCGCCCACAAGAGCTCCCGGATCGTGGACCAGGATCCCTTGAGGCGATTTTCCGGGTCCATCTGCCCGTTTTTGCAGACGCAGACACAGCAACAGGAAGACCACTTTTTGGGGGCAGCCACGAATGAACACATGTGGAGTTGTCGTGGGCGGCTTCCCTTTCAGTTGAAGGAAGAGTGCACATGAATTCCTTTCTTTGTGTTAGCCTTGGGCCCGGGCTGCTTTTTTTGTGTGTTCTTTTTCGTCTGCAGCTTTTTCTGCACTGAAAGCATCCAAGGGGCCCAACAAAGTTCACCGCGGTAGAACAGAGGTCAGCTTTCCAGGTGTTTGGGGCTCTTGGATCCAACATCCTCAAACACTTCTTGGCAGCTCCGCAGTCATTTTGCATGCTTTCCCTTTGGCCCAGGCATCACGGTGGCGTGTGCTGCACCTTTGCCCTGCAGTGCGGCAGTCCGGGATCCCCGTTTGCCAGGCCCGAGGCGGAGGCACGGCGCATTGCTGCCTGGCTTCGCCAACTGAGCGACCGGGGGCGGTGGGGCTGCTGGTCTGGCCGGGTGGCGAGCCTGGCTGAGCTGGGACCCGTGATCACCTGAACAGAGGGAGACTCGCAGCTGTCGGTGGATCCAGCGAGAGGTGGAGAGGCGGAGATCAAATTGTGACGCGCACGCGCGGCGCGGCCTGCGGCGACCCGTTTCTTGCCTCTTTGTGGCCTCAAGCAGTGTCAACGCTCGGCCGGAGAACGAAGGGGATTCGCAGCCAGGAAGCTCGGACAGGGCTTGTCGGCCTGAATTGTGAGCCGCTGGTCGATGCAAAAAATCCCAGATGTACTACCGTGCGCTGGGCCAAAATTGCCATGCACATGCAGGACACACTAGATGGCCGTGGGTCAACACCAATGGTACCATTTTGGGGTAGATGCACCCATTTTAGAACCTATTTTAGTGGTTGGATTGGGATGTTCACTGGGGCGGGGTCATGTTTTTGACAGGCTCTCTTGGCTCAAGGCGACCGCACTCGTGGCCATGTCCTCTTCGGATGTGCTGCGCAAGCTGGGGCTCTCGCGAAATATGCTTGAGGCAGGGTGGGTGTGAAGAATCTGGAGCCAAACTCTTGGGCTTTCAGGTCAACCCCGAATTCATGATGCCTGGTGATGGAATAAGGGAGTCGCTTGTGCTCAGCTGCTGCTGACCCTGCTTTGAGCTTGCAAACGAGCCCACCCGAATTGCGATCGCCTGTGTTTAGGCCATATCCTTGCGCCCATCCTGCAATTTTTCGGTTGGCCAACGCAATTCTTGTTTGTGTGAGGGGGGAGTGTTTGTCTGTGTATGCGTTTGCGTGTTTATGAAGGGGGCCTTTTTCCACAACCACTGCAGTCTCAAAGAACCCCACCCGTGCAGACTGCGGCTTTCAGCTAGTGCAAGGCTCGCAGCAAACATTTACTACCATGCTCAGGTCAAGAAAGGTCCAATGGCTGGTGGCCTTTGTTCCTCACATCCATCTCCTTGTGAATCATGGTAAGGATCACCCAACGACAACCAGACTACAGGCTCCAAACCAATCAGCGCTTGGGTGTTTCGGCGGATTTTTCGAGGAGGCGGAGGCGATCCTTCAAGAGCAAGGCTTGGAGTCTTTGGTGGAGCTGCGACACAGATGGGCCAATGCCAGGGACGGCAGATGGTCGCTGCTCGGGCAGCGTTTCTATTGCGCCGGTCGGGTTTCGGGGGTTTGGGGGTCTGATGGGTCTGATGGCACATAGAAGTTGTTTTTCTCCTCCCCCCCCCAAAGTGATTGACATGTTTACGTTTTTTTTTTGGGAAGCTTGTCAGGGCGGGTCGGCGGAGGCGGCGTTGCAAAAATGTAAGCTGATGATGCTGGTGGGGCAGATGTAGCGCATGCACAGAGGCTTTTGAAGGCATTGGGGATGAGGTAAGTTCATGAGATTATGACTTGGTTATGTGTGAGGTACTTTGCATTTGGCAACATGTAACCCTTACATTTTTCGGTGGCAACCCCCAGAATTTTGCAAATTTGGATGTTCACTGGGGGTACGGGATTTTGACGCATGGCCATATCAATCAGAATCGTTGATTCGAGGCAAGCTCTGAAGTATTTTGGTTGGCCGTGCAGCGCTACCAAAAGGCCACAGCGCTGCGTGTCACAAAGGACACAGAAAACATATTCGATTAGAAGCACTTTGTGAGCAGCGGATGTGCAAAGATAATGACGCTGCTGACATTGCAGCTATTCGTGCAAACCATGACGTGGGTAAAGCCAACGTCGCACACTTTGCAAGCTTGAAAGCTGCCCAAGAAGCCCGCAAGAGGGTGGAACAGATATCCCAAATACGCGTCGAGTTAAAGGACTCCAACCACCCCGAACAAGAGAACCCAGTGGGAAAAATCACGAATCTGATGACAGATGCCGCAAAGAGGCCTGCTGGGGGCATTACTTGAATGCTCAGGCAATACAAGTGGGTATCAACACTTTAGTGACCCGAACGAGCAAGAAGAAGCAGGGGGCGTGACATTGATTGAGCCGTTCCTGAGCTTTCACATCTGCACAGATTCGGACATTCCGGTAAATCTTGGCAAACCTCTCTTTACCAGAGCAAGCGGTCTCGCTTATGAAGCATACCAAGCAGAATGCGCTGAGATAATATTTTGGTCTCTGGGAAAAAAAAAAAACATAGCTGATCTTTTTCCCCGTTGCAGAAAGCTGCGAAGCCTAAAGGCTCTTGGTTTCTTCCAAGCAAGGCCTGGTCCCATTACACACAAAGAGACTACCACTGCACATCGTGATGTTGGGCTTTTCTTATTGGCGAACTGCCCGCCTTGCGTGCCGAGACACAGATGAGACGTTCTCACACGGTCGGACAACAAGAGGGGGGCCATTTTGAACATCACTTTTGCCATCTGGTGTAGCTGCGAACCCCATGCTTATTTGGAGAAAGCCGGTTTTTGACAAATTTTGGTGCTCTCTTGTCTTTTACTTGGACTCAAGCTGAGGCGGCTGCCGTTGCCGAAAATGGTTAAGGAGGACTTGATGTGCAAAGCTCAGGGCGAGGTTGAGCAACGTGTTTGGTTCTGTACTAATGCCACCATTTTTTCAACAAGTCTTCTTCGGGGGACTATCAGCAAACGACAGAATATTTGTGAGGAGGGTTGGTTTGATTTTGATTCGAGGTCGGTGACCTATGATGACTTACCCGCAAGGTTGTGTTGCCCGTTGCAAGCGTTTGATCAGAAGCGTTCTTGACACCGGGTTTCTGCTGAATGTAAGTTCTGGAGCAACGCAATTGATGACCTTTCGGCAGGAGTCGTTCTTCCAATTGTCTTGCAGCAATATATAGGCTGTTACCAGCGCCCAGCTGGCTGGGTCCTGAACATACTCTTTGAGACTGACGGTAAGATCGGATGATCCGATTTCAGTTTGTGAGCATTCTTTGTTCCAAGAATTCTGGCTGCACGCTAGAAGGCGTCTGCAATTGACAGACGCGTTGTATCTTGCATGTGAGCACGGGTGCCTGCTTGTGAAAGTAAACTCAGAACGACCACCCTGCCTTCTCTGTTTGTTCAAACCACTGTTCAAAGCACTGTGAGGGCCGACACAGGTTTCCCCCTGCTCAGTACCCTTGATTTGCTCCACGGGAATCCCTGGACGGTAAAGGGGATTAATGTCAGCTGTCTCACAGTGACCGAGAGAGAGAGAGAGAGAGTTGTTGCAGAGAGTAGGTTTTGTTTCAAGAGCCATGGGTTTCTTCCGCATCGCTTTTGGGCGTTTTTGAGGTCCTACTTCGAGGAGGAGATGGGCGTCAGCTACGGCAAGATGCCGGTCCCGCCCAAGGAGCTTTGCACGCCCGCAGGCGCGGGAAAGACGGGCCCGTTTCCTGGAGACGTCTCTGGAGGTTCTTTCGGTCTCTGGTTGAGGCTGAGAAGTGGGGATTCAAATTGGGCGGCGCGAATCTTCCGCTTGGCCCACGTGAGCCAGTGTGATGTTGCTCCAAAGATCGGGTTTCAAGCACAAGGGACAAAGCGTTCGGATCTGGTGGCCTTTTTGATTGCAAGGAAGGCCAGGGGGGAAAGTATTTGGGACCCTGCCGCGGATTTGCTGGTGGAAGACCGAGGGCTCGAGGGGTTGCGGGGCCCACCTGAGATGATATCTTTGAGGGCTGGAAAACGTATGGCGCATGTGAGAGGCGGTACCCTGGGTTGTAGTCCTGGGGTACCCCGACATGGGAAACCGTGCCTTGTTTTGTGCTCACTATGGGGCATGTGAAACGAGACCGACGCTTTTTTGTTGTTGCCCTATTTTCATGGGATGACTCTGAAAGGCCATGTTCCCTACACCAACGCTTGTGAGAATGGCCCCAAAAGGCCTGTTTTTTGGTTGTTGCCGTACCGCGCCCTCGCTCGAGTTTTGTTTGAGGTCCAGGCTTCACCATGTCCACGCTCGGCGGGCAAGGACTCGGGGCTTGGCGGGCGCAATGAGCCCAGACGGGTCTTTGGATTGGAAGAGGCTCGGTCAAGAGGGTGCAGAATAGGAATACTCAGGGTTCAAGGAATCAGATACACAGAGGGTTGAATCTTTGACCCACGAAGCCCGCCGGTGCAAAGATGACCGAAGTGATGACAACTTCGAAAGAGCCCTCTAGCTCGTGACGAGCCGCTAGCAGATCTTCCAGATACGGCAGGAAAAGGGTCCGCGGAGCTGTTAGCGCAGGACAGAATGGGGGAAACTACCCACTACGTGCAGTATGTTGGTTTTACGGTGCAGGCATTCATCGTGTGCCGTGGAGACAGCTGGAGTGTCCTTTCTCTGAGGTTCCGCCGTCTTCTGTTCGCATCAAGCAGGCCAGTGCGCCGCGTTGCTTTCTTCCACTTCTGGTGCAGAGTTCGCCCCCATGATCTCTGCCGGCACCGTTTTTGTAATGGAGCCCAAATCGTTAGCCATCCCTTAACAAGACCTTCCTTGAGCTCCTTTCCTCCCCTCCCTCCCCAGGCCCCACAAGGCCCATGTGTTTCGGCGATGTCGGAGCACCTTCCGCGAATCGGCGCGGGGAGCTGCGAGGTGCTCCCAGAGTCCTGGGCCGATTCCAAGGGCGTGCTGGCCGGGGACGAGCTGGCACGGGCGCCCGGAGGCTTTTGTTTTTTTTTCTTCCTTTTTCGCCGCTTGATGTGGTCGGGAGAAAGGAGTGACAAGAAAAGTACAACCCAGCAGCGTCTGCATGATATATTTCATTGCTGGACTGGGCCGGGCGGTTGCTGTTTGGCAGGCAGACTTAATCCAACTGTCCTTCGCTGGTTTCGCCCAGCTCGCTTCAGCCGCTCGCCAGCCCAAGGTCATGGTAAATGGCAGCCTCACCTCAAGCCTTACTAAGGCGCGTGGGCTTCATTTGAGAGGGCAACTCCCTAGCTTGCAGCTTCAACGCCATTCAATGGGCATCCGACATGCCAGGGCTGACCATCTCCACGCAAAACAAAGCCGCGCTGAAATGAAGACACAGCACCGTTGACACGTATGCAATAGCACCACAGCAAGGCCGATGCCACAGCAACAAATACACCAGCAACAGCAGCAACCCAGCTAAGTAGCAATCCCTCAAAAACCAACAACCTATCAACCCAGCTAACCAGCAACCAATCAAACCAGCAATGCGAACAATCACAGCAAGGGCACAACGGCAAAACAGCAGCAGCAGCACGAGAGCAGCAGCACGACAGCAGCAGCACGACTGCAAAGCAAGTGCAAGATTCATCTGATCCTGTTTTGGTTGCGTTTTTGACCCTGCCTTTCCAGAGTTGTCCATTGTTGACCATGGTTGAGCGATTGCTTGGATTCAGGAGTTCGCAGCAGCACACATGCTAAGTCTCTGCACCATATCAACACTGCTGCTTAGGTAGCCCCAAGCAACACATATGGCATTGCTGTCTCCCGCGAATCCACGCTTTGCTTGAGACTTGCCCACGATTCTGCTCGCATCTGATGCAGTTCCGCGAAATATTTGTGCAGCAACACCAGCTGTTTTCTAGCACAAAGAGAGTGAACGAGTCAGAGAAAGAGAGAGAGAGACAGAGAGAGAGAGACAGAGAGAGAGAGAGAGAGAGGGAGTGAGTGAGAGAGACAGAGTGACAGAGATAGAGGGAGAGACAGAGAGTGAGAGAGCGAGAGAGATGTTTTGCTGGGGCGTTTCAAGTGTATTTTGCTTCTCTCTCGTCTTTTGTCCCACCGACCGCTCTGCAGGCCCAGGTGGGTGCGGCGCTGCGGGCGCGGCCCCTGCGCCTCACGCTGGCCCGGCCCCGCCGGGCCTCGGTGGTCGTCGGTTCTTCCGGCGTGAAGACGAAGGCCAAGGAGCCAAATGGGCGCCAAGAGAGCCACAGTCCCAGGCAATTGTGTCTTAAAGTAGGGGGTGTCTCCAAACTGGCTTCGGTTTTCCTTTGGTTTCCTTTTAGAAAGGAAGAGACATCCAAATGGGTGCGGCCCTCTGGACTTGGATAGACTCCCTGAGTGCATGGATGCCACATGTTGTTGCAACGTAAGCAAATATGCCGCTTCAATCTGCACATGGCAGATCTCTTGATGTCGTCTTTGTGAACCCCCAAATCTGACTGACACAACTACTTCTTTGAATATGGATCCGTGAGCGTTTTGCGAACTCGCGGTATTTCTGGAGTCAACTCACGAGCGCAGATGGAAAGGAACCCTCAGCATGAACATGGTTGGCGGACAACACTCTTCAGGTGAATCATTGTTTGTTACCATTGTTGTTATTCGTCGTGCTACGACCCTTTTTGAGTTCATGGGCTTTAGTTACTTTTTGGGAAGATCAGTTTGGTGGTAAGCAAAAGTTCGGTTACCTTTTTCGGGACCCGGTCCCTTTTAGAGGAAAATGGTCCAAACCAGGACCCCCGAACGTCAGGTTCTAATTGGTCGGAGGGTACCATCATCAGCCAGATTATTTTGTTTTTAATTGTATTTGTTTTTTGTTTACTATTATTATTGTCATCCTTAGTAGTATTGCCATGACCATTCTTCCAGGGCTAATTACCTTCCCCATTCTTTCCAGGGATCCTTCTTTTCCGGAAACCATCAAAAACCCAGGGAAACAGCTGGTTTTTGCAAAGAACGATGGTGGAAAAGAATGGGAAAGGGATCAACCCCTAGAATCGGACTATCAGATAGATACGAGGCTGTACCACTTGACGGATGAGGGGAGGTGTGACTGACCACCTCTAGGGTGGTCTTCCAAAAGAAGGGGCTACCTTCGAGGAGATGCTGGAGCTGGAGGCTGGGGAGTCTGAGGAGCGCCTGGGCTTCGTGGCCGGCGGCAAGCTGCCGGCCGAAGTCTTCGTGGCGAAGATCTTCCCCAACGGCTGGGCGGAGAAGAAGGGCCTGCAGGAGGGGCGCACAGAGAAGAATAGAATCCCATATGGGTGTGGCTGAAAAAAAATAGAGCTAGGGTTGCGCCGGTTTGGTCTTTGGTTGCGCCAGGGGGCCATTGTGTGTACCGGTTTTTCGAGCCACAGCCATATATGAACCCATATGAGTCACAATCAAAACCCGGGTAGATGAAGGTCAGTAAGGGGCGATCCGAACCATAAATAGCTGCGGCCGCCTTCTGAATCCCTTACATGGTTCTGGGTTCACCATTTTTGTACCAGGTTTCCATTTGACTCATGTGGCCATGGCGCATAACCTATGGCTCCATTTTGGGGTGGATGAACATCCATTTGCCAGCTATTTTGATGTTGACCAGGGGTACAGGGTTTTGACCCACAGCCATATGAAGGCCTTTTCGGTTTTTGTTTTAGAGAGAGAGAGAGAGAGATTGAGAAAAAGAAAGGAAGACAACCACATGGAGTTTCATATTTTTGAGAAACACCCCGATGGTGCCCGGAAAAAGAGGGCAGTGGTGCCAGAACTTGTGATGAGACGACTGCGGCGTTTCGATTGCCCGGCGATTGTCAGGTGGGCGACGTCTTGGAGGAGGCGAACGGCCGGAAGCTGTCGGAGCTGAGCCAGGAGGCCCCCGGTTTGGGAGGAATCAATCGGGGAATCTTCGAACTCTTGTACTTCACGGGGCGATCGGGTACTTAGTGCGTGGTTGGTAAGCCTGGGTACAACCCACCTGGGGGACTTATGACCATGGATTTTTTGTGGGTTATAACCATGGTATTACCCACTTGCCTGACGTAGAATGCCCCTTTAGGTAAGGCGGGCAGAATGCGTGCTGGGTCCAAACCTCTGTCCGGATGGCTCGCCGAAAGCCGGAGCCTGGTCACGGCATGGTCAAATCCGGAATGTCAAGCACGGCAGTCCATGCCCACCGCATTTCATTTTACTGAGCTGGCAAACCAAATTTGGCCTTGCGATATTCCCTATGGCTATATGGAGAACTTCTGGTAAACTATTGGCGATTTGCCAAATCCTTAAATCCGGCAGCCAGTCCCAAGGATTTATTCCAAACCAGGGTTTGCATCTCTGCGTCTGTGGCACGGCTTGCTTCTCCCTCTTCAAATGCCGTTTCGCCTTCCCTTCAGCCTTGCCTGCCCGCTTCTCAGGAGCTGGACCGCCTCATCAAGATCCGGCCGCTGAAGCTCCGCTTCTCGCGCGGCGCTGGGTCGGGCGCGGCGGGAGGTGCCGCGGCAGCGTCCAGCGGCGCCGCGGCAGCGCTGAAGACGCTGAAGGCGCCGGGTGCAGGGGGGGGGGGGCAGAGGCCCGCGGGTTGGGCATGAGTGCCACCCTTTTCGCTACTCTTGCGGTGGTTTGATCGGCTTCCCTGTGCCGGAATTCCACGCCAGCCCCCGCTTCTTTCAACCATGGTCAAATTGTTCGGGCGCAGAGTGAATATAACCGAACAATATATATATATATAGACACAATATGTATGTGTGCACCTTAATATATATATATATATTTATACATACAGAAATACATATACATATACACATACATATACACATAGACATACATATACATATACATATATATACAGACATATACATATATACATATATACATACATATACATATATACATATGTATATATATATATACATATCATGGAAAAGCCTTGGACCCCATCTTCCTCCCTCGCTGAAACCTCCTAGGCCGCCTCAAAGCTCAAGGCCCGGCCGGAGCTCTCGGCGCCGGCGCCGGCGGGGCCGCTGGCCGACAAGGTGAACCTGGAGGCGGGGCCCCGTTTTCGTTCTGAGACCGACGTGTCAGATGGACTCTTGGCACCTTCGGTGGCTCATCATTTGTTTTGGTACATCTGGTTTTAAGCGAAACCAAGCGGAAATCAACCATTTCCGGGGTCCCCTACTTCGACATACGCAGACCTACATGGCTACACATGTTAATTAGTAGCTAAACATAAACACCTCCAACCATTTTGGGGGGTCTAAAGTCTAAAGAAAGACCATACCCATATCTCAGATTCATAGGTGTCCTTTTTAGGTTAGTTTGCTTAAAAATAGATGGCACTGGTTTAGATGGGGTTTATTCCATTTACCAGGGCCATCTATTTTTCCAAAAGGCCACCTATGCTCAGATTCTTGTTTTCCAGCCTTGCTGCCTGCACCCAAGCGTTGCTTCGCCAGCTCGCGGCCGGGGAGAAGCTGGGCTTCGTGCCGTGGGGCCTGCCGCCGGCACGGGTCATGGTGCGCCAGGCCTGCAAAGGGTTCGAAGTTCGCCGGGAAACCGTAGGTCTGGGAGTGAGGAGTGACAGAGTTCGCCTCAGGGAAACCGTAAAAGGTGCAAGTCTTATGGTCAGGAGTGGTGCATCAAAGAGTTCCTGTGGACGCAAGATTGCAGTCTTGCACATGTGTGCATGTCGAGAGGCTCTCAGTTTGCAAACCTGGGTAGAGCTTGAGCTCCAAGAACTGGGGCTACATGGGCACTGGGCCAAACAGCACCGTACAGAAATGGCGACATGGTGCGAAGGAAGCCAGGAAGGACACATGAGATGCGCCACATCGCTCGCAGGTCACCCCGGGATCCGCGGCGCACAAGGCGCGGGCTCCGCACTTGAGGGGGTCGAGGGGGTTGAGGTGCGGAGCTCGTGGGAGTGATTTGACGCATTTCCACGTCACTCCGTGGCGGCATCCGTTGAAAACAGGTTTTGCCCTAACATGCCCAGCTCCCTCCGAGCATGCAAAGGGCGCACCTCCACTATGGCCAAGCAGGGAAAGTGGAACTGCTGCATATTTGGATGGACGTGCCAAAATGAGTGGACACACAGAGAAAAGCAGCTTTTTCTCTCAAGTGCCCCAAACAACGAACCCATGGGCCCATGGGTGCGTTTCCTTTTTAGGACTCGGACCCCCCAAAATGGGTGGCTTCCCTTCCTTGGCACAGGCGCTGCTTCAGCCGGGCCACGAGCTGCTGGAGGTGAACGGCGCCCAGGCCGGATCGTGTTCCCGGATCAGAGGAATTGGGGCATTGGGGTAGCGATTTGGCCATTGGGTTTTCTGGGGATGGGCTGAATGATTTTTGCCATGCAGTGGCTTGGAGGAGGTTTTGGCGAATTGCACTTTTGGGGAGGGTGGGCTGAAGGTGATGTTACCAGCTGTTTGGATGAATTGGTTCATTTGTGTGAGCTGCTCTTTCTCAAATGAGCAAAAGTGAACAGGCTACACTGCCCACACAACTTGTGTGAACTTTTTGGTGTTGCTGGATTCTTCAATGAAATGGGGCTGGACACTTTGGGTCCCATCATATCATCCCAGTCTTGAGGAAGACTCACCATAACAAGTCGACCTGATTGGCAGTAGGAATTCAGCCCTGTGACAATCTCGCCACTTTTCCAAGAATGAGCAAAGCTGACAGGAGGATATGAGAGGACTTCAGTTTATGTTTGTATAGGACCCAAGCACAAACTTGCTTCGGGCTTGTGCCCAACTTTTTTCGAGATCACCAAATGCAAAGTGACACATCCTGCGATCGGGGGTTCTTGCTTCCTTTGAGACTTCTATCCTGATACTTTCTTGGTTTTGGAATCCTGTTTGACTTCGCGGATAGTCTGTTCGACAAAGCTACAACAAGCCACAACAAGCAACACCGAGCCACACCGAGCCACACTGAG